ACTCCGTCAACCAAATCCACCTCCAAATCCTCCTCCTATTCCTGAAATTCCAATTCCTAATCCTAATCCAGTTGATCCCAATTTAACTATTCAAAATTCATGCTTCAATCATCCTGGTCCCAGAAATCATTGTTTTTGGTATTATCAATATTTCGACTCTTATAAAATTAGAGAAGAATGTATCCCTTCTCGTCAAGCTATGTAGATATTAATTTTAAATATCTTCCTCTTTTACAAGAGTGGAAATTTGATAAACTTTGTGACCTTGAACCTATAGTTTACCATCAACTTGTTCGCATCTTTTATTATAATGCCGTTTGTGTCAAAAACTGAGATCAAACTGAGACCATAGAAGTTCGTTCCTACCTCCTAGGACAATTCTTACATATTAACTCGGCTTACATAGCCAAGGCATTAGGATTAGATAACGATGGTATTTCAAATGAAAAACAAATTTTAGGTTCTCGTTATAAAAGAAGGGATAGTGCGAGTGTCTTAGACCTTCATGAACGTTTTCTTCATCTAATGATTTCTTGGTGGTTTCGACCATCCGGAGGTCGTTATTCTACTCTTAGAGCCTTGGATCTTTGGTGGTTACATTGTTTCGAAAACAATATTAAAATAAACCTACCTCAGATTATTTTTGCTGACATTGTTGAAACTGTAAATCTTGTTCCTAACAAGAAACTTTGTTCATCTCTAGTTTATGGTTGCATTTTGAGTAATATATTTTCTAAAGCCGGGCTTAGAGTTGGTCTAGATGCCTCATTTCCTCTAAAGAAACAAATTAATCTTCTTTCCTTAACGAGAGCGGGATGGATAAAGGATAAGGAAACCGGTGAATGGGTTCGATCTTCTGAAAATACTCCGGGAGCTAGTTCTTCACGAGCTCCACCAGAAGCTGAAGATGGTCCCGAGCTTGAACAATTAATGCGAGACATCGATGAATCCGAAGATGAGCCTGAAAAACCTGAGGAGCAGCCCGAGGAGCAAGCACAACAAACGCATCAAATGCCTCCATATTTTCAATCTTTTATGGAGACATTCGATTTCCGATATGCTACCATGGATTCGCGCTTTACTTCTATAGAGTCTCATTTATCCACAATGGGAGCTCAACAATTAGAAATTCTCCGAGAGATGCGCACAAACAACGCTTCGATGAATGAACGTATTGATGCACTCTCACATGAGATGGCCGCTATGCGAGCTCGTTTTCCTCCTCCCGATCCGGATGTTTGATTGTAAGTTTAGCTTTAGAACTTTGAACTAAAAGATTATTGTTTCAACATTTTGAATATTTTGGAATGTTTGATTTTGTGGATTGTTAGACTTTGGATTTATTTGGATGTTTGAACTTATATATTTGGTGTGGTTAAATTTATTTATTATTGCATCATTTACATCATGTTAGATATATGACCAATTTTGCCATGTCACATTAATTATGAATATTGATTATGAAACTAATGGCTAACGTTTCTCTTGATTGTGATCTTAGCAGCTTAAACTATATATAATCAAATTGGCTAAATGATTTGAAAACCTTGTTTAAACTCTTTTAAAATGTCTTTTTGATTTAACAAAAAGGGGGAGAAGTGTTAAGTGTTAAATGTTTTAAATGGGAGAAGTGTTAGAGTAAGGGGGAGTAATTTCAAAACTTGATTTCAAAATCTTAAAATTACTAAAATGTTTTGTTATATCAAAAAGGGGGAGATTGTTGAAAACATTTTGATATTTCGATATAACAAATTAAGTTAAATGAATTTTAGGATTTTCCAAAAAGATTTTCTAAGTATATTCGATATAATTATTCGAATATCGAAACATTACTCTAAATCTTTCAAAAGTCATTTTTAATCCTTACTCAAGTGTAAAATTAAGTCTTAATCTTAAAACAATTTCAAAATAATTTTACAAAGTATTTCGAACCTTTTCAAAGCCAAAAATTCCAGATTGCTCAGAGGGAACCGATTCCCCCCCAAGGGGGTACCGATTCCCCCTGAATGGTTTGGCTATGAGAATTCCAGTATGCTTGGAGGGAACCGATTCCCCCCAGGGGGTACCGATTCCCCCCCACTGTTCAACGGTCGAAATATTTGAATTTTACACTTAGGGAACCGATTCCCTATGAGAGGTACCGATTCCCCCCACACTCCAAACTATTTTATTAATTGATTTCACACTAAAACGGCTATATTATCTTCATTTATGATCCCTAACGTTCAGAAGTGATTCAAGGTGTATTTAAGCAAGCTTAGAAGCCATTGATCTATAACAAGAAACATCAAGCAACTAGAATCAAGAGATAATCAAAGAGAAAGCATCAAACCTCAAGTTTGAGCATTTCAAGCCTATTTTTCATTCAATATTCATTTTACTTTCAAGAACACTTATTGTGCTCAATTGTATTCATTTTTTAGTGTTCTTTTCTTTGTTCTAGAATTGTGCAAACAATCTACCTTGTGAGGATTTCCTTGTAAGTTTGCAAATTTGTATTGTTCTCTTTGGGAGAGAGTGTTCTCAAGAATTTGGGGTATAATTCTTGAGGGTTTGTAAGGTTACTCTTTGTCCTCAAAAGAAAGACAAATTAGTGAATTTGTGGAAAATCCTTAGTGTGGATAGCTAAGGTAGTGGACGTAGACTTTGGTTGAGAAAGTCGAACCACTCTAAATCGCCGTGCAATTTCTTTCAATTTTCTGCAAAAGCTTCCACCAAAATTTTTATTGCCAATTCACCCCCCTCTTGGTCGATTCCGTCAATCGATTAACTTAACAGAATCAATTTAATTCGTGTCACTTAATGGGATACACTTTCATTTTAAAATTATCGAAAGTGACTTTCTTATACGTTAAGACAGTCACTTCACAATAATCCTAAAATGAATGCATATTACCTTTAATCAAGTTATTTGAATCGAATACAGTTATACATATGCAAGTATTGAACATATTATATTTTAAAAAGAAATAAATAATACCTATACCTATACCTATACCTATATATGCAAACAAATATGCTTATATAAACATATAAAAAATTAAATTAAATAACATACTACCTTGTATTGATTAAATTAAATAAGATTTAAAGGCATGGATCAAAATAATATGTTCAATACCATCAAATTACATATATATATATATATATATATATATATATATATATATACTTAAATAAAATGACTTGGGGTAAAAATATATACATACACACATAAGGATACATGGTATAGTGGCCAAAACGAAATGAACAAATAAATCTAAGGTCATAACAGCAAGCCATGGAAACATAAGTCATAAAGTATAAAAATATTATATTTCAGACACCAAAATCATAATAAATCCATAAGCATACAAGGGATTACAATGAAAAATCCGAAAGTAACATGTCAAATGTATAAACAAACACAAAATCGAAATAACTAAACTTAAGGATCAAAATACAACACGCATAAAACTTTAGGTACAAAATCAAAAAAATTAAAAGATTTAAATAAGGACTAAAACACACTTTGACAAACCCAGAGACCCCACCCAAGTAATTTACTCATACGTGAATTTCTTAAAACTCTAAGACCTTAAAACGACCCCGTTTTGGATAGCCCTTAAATACCCTATTATGGGTTATAGGGAAAACCTAATCCCCTATTTTTCCTTTCAGGTGCTCAATCTCTTCCCCAAACTCTCTTTTATTTTTTTTCAAATAGAGAAACCATTCGGTGGCCACGAATCCCTGTGGCCACCACGACACGTTGCCCCTACAAGGGGCCAACTACCTTCAAAACCACCAAAATACGACCCCAACCTCATTGACCCCTAAACCAAAACCTTTTCACCCTAAAACTCTTTTAAACTGAAACCCAAACCGAAACCAAAGTAAGATTTCTTTTTTCTTTTTCTGTTCTTCCATTTTTTCTTTTGATTTTTTTGTTTGTTTTTCTCAAAATCGAAAACCCTTTCTCAAAATAATTGAACTCTTTTAAAATCTCTCCCCCTTCCTCCTTCTCTTTTTCGTGTTTGTTGAGGAAAATCGGACATTTAATGTCCCGGATTTTCTGGTATTAGGTAGGTTTAGAATTTGATTTTAAAATGGATTTGGTTGATTTTTCCTAATTTGGTTTCTCCTTTATTGTTGATGCGAGATGATGATGGTTGAAACATAGGTTGTCGGATGATGGGATCAGATAACCGGAACAGTGGCGGTGGCAGGAGACTCTGACTGATAGTGGAAGTGGCGGCAGCGACGTGGCATGGAAATCCTAATGTTTCTAACCCTAATTGCTTGTTTGGGTTTGGGTCGATTGGGTTTGTTGATGGGCCTGATTTGTTGTTGGGCTTCAAGTGTAATTTCGGACTTCGGGTATGGGCCGATTGTAATAAGTCTGTAAAATATAAATATAAAATTAAAATTATTAAAAAAAATCAAAAATATAAAGGCATAAAAGTAAAGGCAGACAATTAAACTGAAAAATAAATAAATAAAAAATAAAAGGACAAAAATATAAATACATAAAAGTAAAATGTTGAAAAATAAAGAAAATAAAGTGCAAAAAAAATTAAATGCAAAAAGAAAGAATGACTAAAATTGCATAAAATATATGTTAGTATTTAGATGAAAAGTAGATACACACGCATAGATGGACCAAATCAAAACGGAACAAAAATAAAAGGCTTTAAATGTAAAAAGTAATAAATCAAAACGAGGACTAAATTTAAAACCCTCACAAAATGTTAGTTCGAAGTAAAAACAATTAAAAAATGTTCATAAGTATAAAACGGATTGAAAAGAATGTGGTCAAAACATAGAGGTTCAAACTCGAAGAAGCAAAAGCTAAAATGGTGACTAAAATAAAATCTGTAAAGAAGATAAAGGACTGATAGTATAGTTATCCCACTCTTGAAAACACGCGGATATTGAGGTAAATGGGTTGAGTTACGCGTGGAATAAAATGGGGAATGAAAGTTTAAAATAAAAAAAATCATTTTAGCTTCATTTTTAAAAAATAAAAAAAAATGGTTTCCTCAAAAGCTTTGTAATGCACTTCATGATGTTAATCGGCTTCCTCAGTTTCTGAATGGTTTCTAAAATCCGATGAACAACCACCGTGCCGGCCGTCGGTGTTAGCGTCAGCCACCGCTTGTCGGTGACAGAAACTAAAGTTTTTTATCCCTTTTTTGCTCTCCTCTCACTCTCCTTTTCAGAAATCACCATGAAAACAACCAAAAACACTCATGTACGCGCAGATCTAACAAAGAAAGTTCAAATTAACAAAGAAGATACCTTTTCTCTTTGATTTCTTTTGATGGAAATGATTACAACACCCTAAGAATCTATTACAACGACCCCTTTTCGTTTTTTTCTCTCTCTATCCCTCTCTTTTTCGTGCTCTCCTCCTCTGTTTTTAACCGAAAAGCCACCACCTTTTCGTTTTGTTTGCTTTTGGATTATAACAAGAGTGGATGGCATGCTCTTGATGATGACAGGCGACAGCGGATCAGGCTCCACGGTGCACAGGCGTGACAGTCGTGGCAGTCATGGTGTAGCATTCGTGGCATTAAATGTCCCGGATATTACGAGATTCCTACTCTTTTTTGTCTGAAGGATCAAACAGCTAGTGCAGCGGCTCAACTGATGGCTTTGGTCTGGCTTGACTTGGCGTGGATAGGAGTTGAAGGGCTTTTCTGGCGGCGGCGACTGATGGCTTGATGGGGATCATTGGCGGCGGCTAGCCCTAAAAGTATGTTAGTTAAAAGAGGGTTAACGATGTGGGCCATGTATTTGGGTTTATGATTTATTTAGTGGGTTTTGTATGTTGTTTTTTTGTTATATTGTAATAATAATAATAATAATAATAATATAAAAGAGGTTGGATAAAAATGGTGATTACATGATATACTGCTATCTTCTACCTGATTGTTTGGTGCAGGATTTGGTGATTGGTATGCAGCGATATTGGTGGTCTGGTGATGCCAATAAACGTGGATGGCCGATGGTTGCATGGAAGACCATGTGCAAGCCTAAACGTGAGGGTGGTCTTGGTTTTCGAGACTTGTATAGTTTCAATTTGGCTTTGTTGGGCAAACAGTTCTGGTGTTTCATTAAAGAGCCGGATAGTTTGGTTGCCAGTGTTTTTCGAGCTAAATATTTTCCTAATGGTGATATTTTACATGCTACTTTGAAGGATATGAGCTCCTTCGCTTGGAAAGGTTTATATCGTACTTTGCAAGATTTGAAAGGATGCCTTTTTTTGGAGAAGTGGTGTTGGTAGTAATAAACGAGTTCATTGTGACATATAGGGTGGTACCAAAGTTGTTCTTCTTTAAGGGAGTTGTACTGTTTTTTTACCTTAATCCTCTTTACTGTTATGAACTTACGCTTCCTAGTACTAATTTATGGAATGAACGTTTAATTTGTAGGTTGTTTTCTGAGGAGGATGCTTTGCAGATTCTTAATGTTCCAATTGCTCTATGTGCAGAGGATGTCATTAGTAGGGGCAATCATGATTCTGGATTGTATTCGGTACAGTCCGGTTATTGGTGGTTTTCAAAGAAGATTTCATGATAATGAGAGGAAGTCAAAGTTGTGGTCGATTATTGCTAAATTGAAGATTCTTCCAAAGGTCCGTGTGTTTGCCTGACGGGTAGCTCGGAGTGCATTGCCTATTGACCGTCGGATTAAAAGTGCTGGCCTTTCCGATGGCATGTGTCCTATGTGTTCTACTGAGGAGGAGAAAACATTGCATGCTTTGAGTGATTGTCCTAGGACACTGTTGTTCTTGCGGCTTGCGAAAATTCCTGCTTGTGTGTCTTTGAGTGTCATGATAGCCCATTGTTATGGATAGAGGAAGCTTTCTCAATTCTTGGACTTGAATTATTTGCTGGTTTTTTTATTACTTTGTGGAATAATTAGAATTCATTTGTTCATAATGATAGGTTGCAGCCGGCTTGGCTCTTGATTACAAATGCAAAGGTACTTCATCAAGACTATTTGAGGTCGATTGCATTGGCGAAGGTTCATCCTCTTTCATCTGTGGATCGTACTCGTTGGACTCCGCCAGTGGAGGGGGTTATTAAAGTTAATGTGGATGATGCATTTGGTTAGTCTCGAACATTGGCAGCTGTTGGTGTAGTAACCCGCAATCAAGTGTGGTGGTTTGGCTCAACCTTCTGTTGGATGTTTCGAGGCCGGTTTTGCGGAACTTTATGATTTACTTGCTGGCCTAAGGCTAGCTTGTGATATGGGTTGGACAGATGTTCAGTTTGAAACTGATTCTATGATGCTAGTTCACAAGATTACAAGATCTTCTGCAGATATCTCAATTTTGGGTATGTTCAAGAGGCTCGTGCAATTATTCAGGATCATCCTCATTTTTGTGTTATGCATATACCCAGAGATTGTAATCGTGATTCTCATTCGTTAGCTAGTTGGGCTTTAAAATCGGGAGGATCTTTGATCTTTGATTCAGTTTGTCCCTATATCATTTCTCATGACATTCAAATCAATGTATTTTTTCTTTGATTTATAGTACTTGGATACTCTTTTCCCCTTATTAGGCATCGTGCACGTTTATTTTCTTGGACAAATATAATTTTTCCAAAACTTTTCGCTTATTTTTCTCTTTATTTAATGTTAACCTAACATGTGCCCATAATATTGTCATATACGAAGAAGACACTTCTAAAAAAATGCTTACGAAGGTACTTCATTTATTATCAATTTCCAATAAATTAAAAATTGAAGTTTTTTTCCCTTTTTCAATTCGCGGTGGGCTGCTTTCTTAATTCGGTCATTTTACCTTAAAATTGGGCTTTTGTCCATTAATTCCCATATTATAGGACATTATTTCCCAAAACAGCAGGTTTTTTAGGGTGGTGTCCGACTTGTATTGAGTCCATTTTTTCACTCTTCACGTTGGTCTAAAATTTTGGAATAGATTTTTTTTTTAATTCATGATTGTATAATGACTATTTATACTCAACGCTTACTAAAATTATTTTCAATCATTTATGAAAATGGAATCTAGCATTAGACCTATGGTATATTAACTCTAATTGTTACTTGTTTGGTTTATACGAAGAATAAATTCTTATGAATGTGTCAATTTCATCCCACTTAAATAGGATATAGTTTGGGTAGAAATTTCATGTCATGTCATGTCATGCTTCGTGATGTGTGTGAAGAGTACCTGACAAATCATTAATCAAAACACACAAGGTAAAAAACACTATTTTTTTATAAAATCAATAAATAAGAAAATACGAACAACCAATTAATATAACTATTTATAAAAATAGCATAAAAATTCAAAGGAAAATAAAAATTAACATAAATTCAAAGGCACAAACTAACAATTTTTGCTTATTAAGACAACAAACAACCGATCATGGTCTAACTCTGTAATGTACATAGCAAAGTCGCCAAGGTGTTATGTGATATCCCAAATTTTTGGACTTGTGATCAAAATGTAAAATTTGAAAGTTAAGTGGCCAAAGTATAAACTTGGGAAAAGTTTAGGGATAAAAGTGTAATTTTAAAAAGTTATGTAATCTAGTCCCGTAAATGAATAGTTTACCCCCAAGAATGACGTTTCCGTGGGAATAAGATTTTTCGTACGGATTTTGTATTAAAAGCTATAAAGTGATAAAGTTCGAGAAAAATAGAATAATCGGATCGAATCAGATTTTTGAAATATTTTGAAGGATGATAAAGCAATGTTAATAATGTCATTTCCATGACTTAAATTTGAAGGATTTAATATGGATCATTGATTTAAGTTGGTTTTCCATATTCAATTTGGACAGTTGGATGACAAATGGCAAGATTGCAATTTTGGAAAATTCAAACGGCAAAGGTGGTAGCTACTAACTTATTGGTTTATTGTTGACCATTAGATGAACAAATTGATATGTAGCAAGTTATGGAGCCTTATATTTCAAGGGCAAAATAGTCATTTTGCATTAAATGAATTTTTAATTAAATTTATCATTAAAAGATGACAAATAAGCTTAGATTTGTTTTAAGAAAAATCAAGATTTTTCTTCATCTTTCTCAAGTTGGTTGTAAGCTTCATCCAAGGTAAGGAAACATTTCCTTTTTTTGATTTTCAAGCTATTTTCTTAGGAATTTGGTTGAAAACATGAAATACAAAGTTGATCTTCATGAAATTCTCTATCATTTGGTACCATTAGTTCGTGTTTTCCATGCTTAGAACCTTGAATTCTTGAATTGGATGGATGAAGGGGATGTTAGGTTTTGGTGAATTAAGGCTTGATTATGGCGTAGTTGATGTTGGAGAATCATTTCTATGCTTGTATGATGATTGAAACTACATGGAAATGCTTGTAGTAAGTTTATGCCAATCTAGGGTTTTAGTGGAAATTGGATGTTTGAATTCAAAATTGATATGAAATTGATTGTAGATGAATGGAAGTGAGGTTTAGAAGTTGAATTCTTGTTTAAATCAAGTTCGAAATCAAGCTTTAAGTGACCCTTCATATTCGGCCAAGTGAAGTAATTAGGAGAAAAATATTTAAAAATTTCCTTAAGGTTAGAATTGATGAATGGATGATTATGTAAGCTTTAGAAAGTTATTTAGACCAATTCGGAAACTTATAAAGGTTTAGGGACCAAATTTTAAAAAGGAGGAAATATGAGTTTGAAATCGAAATTAGCATGAAGTTGAAGAGTAATATTTAAATGTGTGATTAGAATGCTTTATTTTATTGTTGGATGCTTGGATTTGAAGATTTAAATGGAAAGGAACCATTTTGAATAAATTGGAATTTTTGAGGTTAATTCTTAAAGAATTCATTTTAATGGTAAAATGGTGGAAATTAAAATGGTTATTTGAATTATAAGTTGATATGAGCATTAAGAGGATTGAAATTATATTTTAAAGTGTTAAGGTAAGCTTTGACGTTTTGAAATGGATTTAGAATCTAATAAGTATCGATAGAATTTTTATGAATTTTATTATTGAATTGTGCCTATGTTAGTAGGATACTTATCTATGCTTTGAAATTGTATATGGTAAATATGGCTTGTGTAGATTGTGACAAAAAGAAAGTTCAAAGCGATTCAAAATCAAAGGAAATAGTACAAGAACAAAGGAATATCAATAGTAGGATTTCTTGTGAGGCATTATCAGGTGAGTGCATTTTACTTATACTGTTAAAGTATGACATAAGGAAGATTTGTTATGAGTCAACCTCGAATGATTTGAAAAGAAAATGATTTCAATTTGTTTTATTATATTTCATATTATTTTATTTAATGATTTCTTATGAATAATTTCGAGTACGAACTGGCCAATGCATTTTTATATGATATTTTGATATGTTCGTATTTATGAATACCTTGATATTAAAATGATATGTGATTTTAATGGAGAAGCCTATTGTATATGCATTGAGAAATATATTATACGATACATTATTTTGTTATTATTTAAAAGGATTATGATATGTGAATGATATATGATATTTGATTGCAATGATGTTTGAAAAGATCTTGATAAATGAATGATATATGATTTAGTGAAAATGCCCATTGTAAATGCATTGAGTATCATACGTTTAATTGGCATGCCATAGAGTTGGAGCATTATATTTAGCACGTGTTTGACTTCACATAAGTGATGGTGGTGGTACTAGAAGATGCATTATACTTATAGCATGTGTCTAATGTCTGTCCGATGGTAGTTCTACTATACGAAACTTAGCATGTATCTGATGTCTGTGTGATAGTGGTGCTACTATATGGTACTTATCACTTTTCTGATGTCTATGTGATGGTGGTGTTAAAGTACCAGGAATACATTTTATGGCACGCATATGAAAATGGTGTCTGGACGTATGTGATGATGGTGCGGTGTATTCCTTATTATCGACACATTGATATTGTGTTTTACAGTACTTGTGCATTATATGTATATGCTCGTTTGACTTACTTACCTTGTATTCTCATTGGTTTACATTGGACTATGATATGAATAAAAGGAAAAACTTATTTCAAATGAAATGAAAGTGAAATAATTTGATCGATTTGAATTCAAAGTGAATTTTCGTTGATAATTTTGAATTAACTTTAAATGTTTTATGATGAATCTTTGAATCATAGATAGATTTTTATATGATATTTTTATACCTTACACATGTTATATTTTAATATAAATATGTTTTGTTACAGTTATTATTATTATATTGATATTAGTATTAGTAGTAGTAACTTAATGCCTCATAAGTGTATACTTAGTGTGTGATGATTTTCACGTGTAGAAAAAGTAAGCTTACAGAGTAAGGAGTTAGGCCCAGCATCAACTTTTGAAGATTAGATCCGCTCCATATTCAGTATGGTATCTTTTGAATATTGATAGTATCAGTTGGCACGTATAATACATGGTTATGATGCTTAAAACTAGAGATGCTTAAATCTGGTTTTAAATGGTTGATACTTATTATTACTATTTATGAATGATAATTTGTTATTTAGTACCTTCGTAAATGATTTTAATTATTAACAAGATGAAATATTTTGTGAACTTTGATAATAGTTAAATATTTTTTTATAGAAACAAATGAGTGTTACATTTATTAGTATCAGAGTTGTAGGTTTAGCCGATTCTAGGCCTAAACCAAACATGTTTTGAATAGCAAAATGTATATATGTCACTAAGATGTCAATATTACTGATATGGTGATTTTTATTTGATTGATGTTGCTCCTTACTAATATAAATTGAATATGTGTTTATATAGATGTCTAATCCTGAAATATCTTGTAGAGCAACAATCAGGAGGTTCTGGAAGGAACCGATAGTAACGAAGTTAATTATGAGCCTCATGTTCAATTTGAAGAAGGTGGAGCACCGACATAGCAGGGAGTGCCTGTGCAAGATCAGGGGATATGCTTTCAACCTTGAACGCAATTTTGTCACATTTTTCAACCGCCTACTCCTCCGGCTCCCGAGTGTCAATTGCTAAAGAATTAAAAGTCTAGGAGCTCCTCAGTTCAAAGGTGAATCTGACGAGGGCCCAATGACCGCAGATCTTTGGTTAAATGATGTGAAAATTATTTTGGACGGTTTTCATTGCACTGATGCAAAGAAAGTAGATGGAGTTGTGTCTCTACTTTAGGGTAGACTCGTATATGGTGGAAAAATTCTATGATGCATGTTCTTCCTGAACAAGTGACATGGAAATTATTTTAGGAAGAATTGAAGAACAATTACACTGGAAATCAATTTATTCGAGAGATGAAGCAGTAATTCCTTAATCTGAAGCAAGGAAACCAGAGTATTTATGAATATGAGTGTGAGTTTAACAAGTTGAGCCGATTTACAATAGACTAATCCTTATGAAAAGGCTCGATGTGATTGGTTTATTGAAGGTTTGCGATCGATGACTAAGGAGTTTATGTTGGCCCTGAATCTGCCTACTTTCTAAGAAGTAGTGAATTGAGCCAAGTCGATTGAGTGAGTTCAGA